TTATGTAGTGAAGTGTACATTATAACGAAAAGGCTTTTAGGTGAAGGAAAATGAAATTTTTGTGATGTAGTGATATACACCGTAAGTTACTTGATATCATAATAAACGTCCCGTTTCTCGGCAATCACATACGCACTCCGTTACTCAGAAACACACACACTCGTTTTGTTCAACTTTCTAAATTAAATTAAATTCTCATTAGTATAGTATTATTCACATTTTGGTCCATGCAATGAACCAATCTTGTTATATTAATGGAAATTTCAGTATCCTGTTAACAATTTTAAAATCCTGGTGTTAGAGTCTAATTCCAGAAAATCCATAGCCGCATAACTAGAAGTAATTAGTGCGAGACCGAGTTATGAGCCCTATAATAATTTTGAAAATGTATACATTTTATTTTTCAATTTCAAAAGCAATTTATGGTAGTGGAATTGTATTACGGACTATATAAATATGTATGTAACAGAAACAAATTAGCAAATGCTAGAGAACACTAAAGCCAAAAGAATTTGTTCCATGGCGTTTTTACTTGTTTTTTTTTTAATGTCAATGTGCTTATTACAAATCTTGAAAAAATTTCCTTAACTTTCTTACAGACCATTTGAATATTTAATTTTACTTACAATTTTTGCAAACTGTGTTGCCTTAGCCGTGTACACTCCTTTCCCAAGTGGCGACTCTAATACAACCAATTTCTTTTTGGTAAGTTATAGGCTTAAGTATTTAATTCATGTGTTAAGGTAGTTCACGCGTAAACTCTTTGAAGAACTTAAACAGAATCGTAATAATAAGTAAGGACTAACAGTTAAACTTACAATTACAGAATGACTGATTGATTGCTAATTGAACCATAAATTAGGTACCTACCTAATCAATGAAACGATTTCTCCTAGGCCTAATTCAATTTTTTTGTAATTTTTTAAGTTAAGTATGTTTTTACTTATAATCTTTATGTTTTCAGAGTTGTCTTTAAATTTTATGTTTTAACAAGCGTTTCTATGGGACTTGTTAGATAATTTTTTAATTTGTTGCTCGCACATACTGGTGGTGGTGTCTAAAGTCTGCTACTTTTTTTATCATTGACGATTAGTTTGAAATATTCGGTAAAGAAGATTTAAACGATCTCAGGCGCGGATATAGGGGGAGAGGCAAATGGTGCAATTGCAACTTTATGGTATACGCAGAATGTTATTTTTGAGAATATCTAATGAGAAAGGTTCGTTAAAAATGATATAACGCGGCACGACCTAAAGTTCCTTTATCATGTATTAAAAGAAAATTGGAATTAAAGACTTTGTTTTTAAATAAACTTAAAATTTTGGGTACCTTTGAGATTATATAATTGAGTGCAATTACAAAAAAAGGAATTAGCCGTTATGGGACAAGTACTTCTGTAATTTTTCAAGAAACAACAAAATAGCGAAACAATTGTTAAGGCAAGTGAAAAATATGAAAATTCTATAGGGTTCTAATTTTATATTAGGTATAAACTTAATTCTGACATATCCGGTATTTTATTTATGCCCAGTCTCTTTATTCAAAAAAATCCAACTGAAGATTTTGCAGCGAGATTGCCTTTATTTTAAACTCAGAAATACTTTCTGTAAAGTCCAAAGGATGGCTACAAAAATTACAGAGGGTTAAAGATCACGAAATCAGTTTTTCTCAATTTTTTTTTGTCATAAAGTATGGTTATACCTGGCCAGAAAGTATATTCAACATTTATAAAACCGATATTTTACGATATGTTTGAGAAAAGTTAATTTTTATAGCAGCTTACTTGGTTTTATAAACATTTGAGAAACTATTGCGATGTCAAAATAACGAGAATTCCGCTGGAAAATCTCTAATCAGATTTTATTCACGTACACGACTGGACTAATATTGTAATGGAAAATTTTATAAATTTACTAAACAAGAGCAATTTATTTATCACTATTCAATTAAAAAGTCAGGAGTCATTGTAGTATACAACAGTTTGAAAGAGGAATGCCGTAAGCATAAGTACAATAAATATGAAGTATTATTTATATATGACGAAGTCAATAGGCATGATAATATTCGGCATTTTCAGATACACCTAGGCAATTTAGAAATACTGCATTTGGCATTAGACTAGCTGACATTTAGCTAAACTGTGAAAGAAATAGTCATTACTACTGTGTTAATAAGTTTATTTGATTAGTACAATGTATTGGATATGCACTACACGTGAGTGCTATCCAATTAGGAACTAATAATGATAATATGACTATTAATTTATTTATAAGAGCAATTGAAATACCTGATAGTTTACTGGATGTGTAATTTAAGATAATAACCAATAACTAGAAAAGCAATTAATTAATTGATAAAAGCAGTAGTAAACGACGAAAAAGTCATGGAACAGACGAGAATCGTGACATCATCCGCTATATTATGGAATGGGACTGGAATGGGACCACATGAAGGGTGGACAAACTAATAATTGATGAAATCATGAACCAACATATCTATGTAAACATTTTAAAATAGAACGTGAAAGTTAATACGGAAAAATCTGGTATTCACGAGAATTATTGTTTCTACCAGAATAACCACCCAAAGCATACGGCCTACACTATTCGTTTATGGATATGGAGGGATTGGAGAACGGGGAGGTGGCCTTTTAGGCCTGTATACAAGTGTTTTTCGTTGGAAACATACGAAGTTAAAACTGAAACTTGAAAATGGAGATAATAGTAATTATGTATATGTATGAATTAACAGTCCATCGGCTGGACGGGAATTAGTTTATTAGTTTATTCCACAAATGCCCCTCTCCCTTCGTTTCCTCTGTCCGATCGAGGCTTCCTATATTACTGATGAGCAAACGCACACTATAGGCATCTTTTTATTTGCAGTAATTGAAATAAATTTTTGTTATAGTGGAATTTAGATGTGAATTTCGCAAGAATCTTGCTCCTGGTCTTGCTCATTTAATCTTACTTTTGACCATGCGAGAATAGCTAAGACAAATCTGCAAAACAGCAAGGCCATTTTTGCTCATCACTATCCTATATCGAAAGATTTGCCTGCGTTTGCTTCTTTCATTAATCTTTTAGACGACTTTCGCATTTTCTTTAGTTATTGCCTTAAATTACACTTTCAGTACGGAATCTGTCTGATGGGCCATACCGTACCATAAATGTAAAAGTAAGTGTACCTAGTAATTGTCAACGTATGGTTGAGCAAAAAGATTACAAATTCACGATTACCGAGAAATCTGTTTAAGTTATAGTAGCATACATTTTCTGTTTTTACGCGTGAACAATCTTGAAGGAAATTGAGACCTTTATTTATTTGAAAACAAAACTTAACATATGTTTGTTATTTTACAGGAAAAAATTGAATATATATTTTTAGTAATTTTCACACTTGAATGTATAATGAAGATAGTTGCGTACGGATTTATGATGCATCCTGGTGCTTATCTAAGAAATGGATGGAACTTGTTAGATTTTACTATTGTTGTTATAGGGTAAGAAGATGATTATCTATTATTAATAACCATATAAGCAAAACCTTCATTAATTTTCAACATCTATATTGTAATTGAATTTGGTCAAACGATCTATTATTACATATTTACATACAATCTTTTGGAGATATCCGAAATAATCTGATTATCAAAACAAAGAGGTGCAAAGTATAAAACAAATATCGATTCATTAGTAATGAATTTAAAGGATGGCTAATAGGGCTTAATTGGGAACAAATGGTGGAAATGTCAAAAAGGTTTCTTCCCTCAGGATACATTTAAATAAATATAATTCTGTAAAACCCTACAAATCACATTTCAGTTGACCAAAATTTATGTTATGTAACAACAGTCATAAATCCTAAAGCCGAAGNTAACAAAAGTGTATGGTAAAATTTAATGAAAGTGGACAAAACTGCATCTTCTTGAATTCTTAAACAAAATAAACCTTACGATAGATGATTTTGAAAGTTAAAAATAACCTCTCAAGAATCATTTTCACCTTGAGGCGAAACGTTGGTGTTTAGATTATAAAATGTACCTAATTAAAGAAACCTTCACCCCAGAATTGCTTTTCTTTCTTTAACTGTGATTTGTTGAAGCTATAATGATAAAGATTAGTTAATTTTAAAATGCAATCAGAATCGGCAAAACCAATAAAAGTAATAAATAGATACACAATATTAATTTCAGATATGCTTCTCTAATTTATTTATGTCCTCGACATGTATGTTTCCATTGTCAGCTTTTGTGATCATGAGGACCTCCTTTAGTCCATTTATCCCACATATACTTAGCTTTATTTAGTGTCTTTTGGCGTTAAATTATTTAAGTACCAAGAAAACACTAATAACCAATAACAATTTGTAACAATAACAAACGAAAACACAAGTAACAAAAAGGCACAGGGAAAATGCAACAGACATATGAGAACAAAGTGACAAAAAGAACAAGATAACAAAACAGTAACAATAACAAAGACAACAACAAAAATGAAAACAATGTAGCGAATAACAATAGAATAATAGAAGCACTTACAAATGGTGGTAGTAGCGGTAGACGAGAGACTGTCCTGAGATATGAAATTTTTGGACTATTTATAGAACAGGGTTGTTAGTAATTTTGATGGAATGTTCTAGAAGGAAAAGTAGTGAAGACACTAGTTTATAGGAATACGTAGTATTAGACAGTACAGAATTCAAAAGAAAGCAATTAAGGGTAAAACCAGATATTAGTATGGGAGTGCATGCAGGTATGGTTGATGTTGGATTTCCAGGTAAAAGTGATGAAAGAACAATAGAGTTTAGATTGAAAGGAAACCAAGGTATGTAGAAGATAAGAATTTGAAATGAATTGAAATAATATTAGAAAAAAATATTTACACACAAAAAAAATAAGAGTTATTTCACCACATTTATAATTAACATACGGTGGTAAAATTTCGCCAGCTGCATTGCTGCACATCATCAGGCTGAAAGCAGCCTTTGCGGAGTTCTTAATAGCTTCGGAATACTTAGTTCCACGTTTTATTAGAATCTTTTTCCGGCCAGGATCGTCGACTAGATTTGTTTCGTCGTAAATTCCGGGGAACTCCATCGATTTCGAGTTTCAGGCGGTGGAAGTATCTGTTTATAGTTTCTTCATTCATAGCAGTCCGAACCCGCTTTATGTTACTGCACAGTCTTTGTGATGGTTCCTTTTCATGCCTTTGTAGAAATATTTGAGGCCAAGTCCAACCAGGAAAATTGTTAGAGAACTGTGGAATTTTTTATTTAAATATATCTTAACGATGCATCACAGATCAAAAATTGTTATCAGAAATCCAAAACGACATATTTCCATTGAATCTTCAACAAACGTTCGGTCATTGTAATACTTGTATGACCTGGATCCCGGCTTTTTTCTGGACATTTTTATCAAAATGAGAAAGTCGAACTTGAAACGAAACAATGTTTATAAATACGGTCCAAAAATAAATATGGACTATTGTTGAAATCAAAGTATGAACATTTATTTTACGGCATCAAAATCGAAAACTATAAAACGTATTCAAAAAATTATTAGATTACAATAAAAACCCATAACAGACCTAAAAATTAAACTAAAATGCGTTTACAGCGATGTCTCTAACAACTTTTTTTTAAATAAAAGCGTCTCGTGCTCAGCAAACGCGAATAAACTAGTTTAACTTCACCTGGTAGCAATTATAGTCTGCTCAGTAGCGTCATCTGTCTATAACTTGTCAAATTATCCACTATTACATTGTCTTTCAAAATAATAACAAGCAAATTCCCTAGATTGCGCAGTTTTGTGTGTGGTTGACAAAAATGTCGTCTATGCGTATGGACCATAGTTATATAGCAGGACTTGTATGACTGTACGATATTTATTTTACAGTTATTTATGTTACACTATAAAACTTACTAAACACATAAATTACACTGAGAGAAATTAAATAGTTAGATTTTCTATGATGTGTTAATTTTATATTTAACATTTTATAGTTGAGCCCTTTCATAGCAGAAAAAGGACTCAACCAAGAGCCGTTAAATGGGAAATTAACACAGCATAGTAAATCCAACTATTTTATTTTTTTTCGATATACTTCTTATGTATATCATATTAGTACTGCTTATTTACTTGCTACTATATATTCGCTCGGCATTCATCTGCAATTCTTACTGTTTGTTTATTTTACTGATCAGCTGTAACAGTCTTTATCCTTCTGGAAAATTCGGGAACTCCTATTATTCCAGGACGTCACAGATATGATTTATTATCATTTGCGACTTTAGCACAAAGGTTTCTGACCATGCTTCCGGACATATTCTCGAGCCGTCGAAAATCAACGTACCTACCTACTGATTTTCACGGTAACAGTTTTAAAAGTAAATTTCTTGTAGAAATAAAATCTTTAATCATTATCTACAAATAGTTTCAATTGCTAAACTTTTTAATCACGAGAGTAGACTAATTGTTTAAACAACGTTCTATCAAAAATGGCAATTTAACAGTTAGTCTCCTATACAATAATTTTGAAAATAAGTAATTTTCGTTAGTTGTTTCACGAATCAGCTTCAATATGAAACAGCTTCATAATTAAATTAATAACGGTACCTAATGAATTAATAAATTAATAACACAAACGTCCTTTATTAACTGTTGTTAAATGGAAATATTTCCAGTAATTTGTGTACCAGTACGAGTAGATTCTATGGAATTAATGTATATAGTTAGTATATTAATTTCCAAATCAAAGACAATTAGGGTGAAAGGCTTTTTATTAACTTAAATAACCACGCCACAGTTTCGCCTTCGGTTTTAAAGGCCTTTTCAAGGTAGGCTATTTTAGTCACTCAAACATAAATATCTGATGATGCAGAAATCATATATAGTGCAAATTATTAAAGTGTATCTAAAACTTAACATTATTGTGTATGTTATGTTATAACAATCCAAAATTCAATCGTTGTGTAACTCTCTCGCGATTTGACTTCTAATATTTTTATATTCACGCATTCACTGTCATCAAAAAAAGGAGAAAAACAATCCAATCTTTTTGATATTTTGTCATTAGAAATTAGAAGTTTGAGAAAATAAAGACGATTGTCATGAAAAGTAGTCATACAACACAAATACTGACTTTGATTTGACTTAATTAATAACAATAAAGCATTTTAACAAATAAAGACAATTACATGCTATATAAATAAATAAAAAAGACTAAGTTTCTGCTCAGCAATTTGTCAAATTTATCAGATGAGAATTGTGATTTCTTATGAGTTAGCACGGGTAATAATTGTTGTAGCTAAACAACTCCGATAAACGCGTACGATCGCTGCTAATCATAAAATGCTATAGGGAGAAGCGCAATTTTTTTTTTTTTCGTTTATCCTCGAGGAGGAGAAATCTTCAAAAAGCACCCCTTGAAGGGGGAAAGTGTCGGATCCGCCGAAGTGCCTACCGACTAAAACCCCTCCTCGAGTAGGGATGTTAACCCGAAAGTTGTGACTCCCAAGGGAGGATGGTTGAGGGTGTTTGGGGAGGTGGAGAGGTAAAAGTGTGGAGGGGAGTGTTTTGGTCGTTTAGTGCAGCATTAGACAGGCACGGGCCGCTGCCTCCCGCTATGTCTTTGCATTTTAAATCTGCAATATCTTCGAAAATATTCATTTAAATTACACGCTGTAAGGGCCATATTGATCTATATTAAATGTACAATGTATTTAAGGTACTTAATTGGATAAGTATTAATGCTGTATTTCTTAAAATCGCTTTGTAAATAAGCCATTATTTCTCGTAAAAAGTAATTATCCCTAAGAGATAGCCATATACCATCGCGGACTTTCTTGTAGACCTTTCTAAGGTGTACAATACTGTAGTACATTATTTTGATCTATCTCGTAGGGTTCAGCCAGCGTTTACAATGTAAGAGTAAAAAAATGTGTTTATTTACGACATCACATTAGAAACCTCTAAAATTATCAGTGTTTCTCTACTACATTATATAAACCTTCCTCTTGAATCACTCTATCTATTAAAAAAGAACCGCATCAAAATCCGTTGCGTAGTTTTAAAAATCTAAACATACATAGGGACAGACAGACAGCGGGAAGCGACTTTGTTTTATATTATGTAGTGAAGTGTACATTATAACGAAAAGGCTTTTAGGTGAAGGAAAATGAAATTTTTGTGATGTAGTGATATACACCGTAAGTTACTTGATATCATAATAAACGTCCCGTTTCTCGGCAATCACATACGCACTCCGTTACTCAGAAACACACACACTCGTTTTGTTCAACTTTCTAAATTAAATTAAATTCTCATTAGTATAGTATTATTCACATTTTGGTCCATGCAATGAACCAATCTTGTTATATTAATGGAAATTTCAGTATCCTGTTAACAATTTTAAAATCCTGGTGTTAGAGTCTAATTCCAGAAAATCCATAGCCGCATAACTAGAAGTAATTAGTGCGAGACCGAGTTATGAGCCCTAT